CTCGGACAGCACTTTTACCTTTACCGATGTCAGCTACACAGTCGCACACGATGGTGAAGACAAGCAGTTGCTGCACAAAGTGAGTGGGTATGCCCGCCCCGGGGCAGCTGACAGCCCTAATGGGTGCCTCGGGAGCTGGCAAGACTACCCTGCTGGACACGCTTGCGCAGCGCAAGAGAACAGGCAAGATTGAAGGAACTTTTCGACTTAATAGTGAACTGTTGGATGAGTCCTTCGAGCGCTCATGTGGATTTGTAATGCAGCAGGACATTCATGAACCGTTCGCCACCGTACGCGAGGCATTGGAATTTTCGGCACACTCGCGCCAGCCGCGCACATCTCAAACGAGAATAAGATGGCCTACGTCGAGCATATTATTCATCTTCTTGACCTCGAGAATATTGCAGAGGCATTGGTAGGCCAGCCGGGAGATGGACAGCTCAGCGTCGAAGAGCGTAAGCGTGTCACTATCGGAGTCGAACTTGCGGCACGGCCTAGTTCGCTCTTGTTCCTCGATGAGCCTACTTCCGGACTTGACAGCCAGGCCTCATTTGAGCTCGTGCTCTTCTTGCGTCGTATCGCAGCTGAAGGTATTCCTGTCGTGTGCACAATTCACCAGCCGTCCGGTGTTCTTTTCGATATGTTCGACCAAGTTCTACTCCTTGCCCCAGGAGGCCGGACCGTTTACTTTGGCGAGACGGGTGAAAATCCTCAGAAGTCGTCGATTATTTCGGGCGTCATGGCGCTATAATTGGAAGCGACACTAACCCCGCTGAATTCATCCTCTCGACTGTCACGTCCAAGAACGAAGGCTCGCTGGACTGGCCGGCTATATGACATGCCTCCGCTGAAAACCAAGCCCTGGAAGCAAATATAACGCAGCTTAACTCCAGCATCGCCAGCAAGGAGACAAAGATCAACTCTTCGCAGCTTTACGCATCCTCCTCGCAGAATAAATACGCTCTATCCCTCTGGGCCCAGACCATCGCAGTCACCAAGCGCCACTGGATTTCTGTCTGGCGGGACGGGATGTACAACTTCAGCAAAATAGCCAAGTCTTTCTTCGTCTCCATGTTCATAGCTTCAGTTTCTTCCACGCCGGATACACCCTCCAAGGTCTACAAAGTCAGATGATCGCCCTGCTCCTCCTCTCCTGGATTATCCCACCACCTGCGCTGATCTCCAGGACCTCTGGTTCCGTAAATGGGCCATCTTCACAGCCCGAGAGCAGAACGGTATCTACGACTGGCGCGCACTTCTTACCGCGTTAATCGTTGTTGAAATACCGTGGCAGCTGTTCACCTATACATTGTTTTACCTAGCCACCTACTGGACCGTTGGCTATCCAAACGAAACCCTGTTGCCGGACTCTACTACTTCATGTGGATCCTCCTCGGTATTTTCGGAACCGGATACTCCCACCTCCTAGCTGCGCTCTTCCCATCCGCAAATCTAGGCGGGTACGCTAATTCCCTCTTCTGGGTCATCCTTATGATTGTTTCTGGAGTCTTGACTCCCCATGCATACCTGAACGATTTTTACCGCCCTGGCTGTTTTGGATCGATCCCATGCGCTACTTCTTCGGCGCTTCGCTCGGTTCGGTCCTTCACGGTGTTGCGGTTGAGTGTTCCTCGAATGATCTCGTCGTGTTTGATTGCCCCACCAGGCAGTACTTGTGGCCAGTATACGGCGGCCTTCTTGGGGAGTAATCCCGGCTACATTGTTAATCCGGAGCGCGACGGCAGATTGCTCATATTGTCCGTATTCGGTCGGTGATAAGTATCTGGACACAAGTACTGCCTGGTGGGCATCAAACACGACGAGATCATTCGAGGAACACTCAACCGCAACACCGTGAAGGACCGAACCGAGCGAAGCGCCGAAGAAGTAGCGCATGGGATCGATCCAAAACAGCCAGGGGCGGTAAAAATCGTTCAGGTATGCATGGGGAGTCAAGACTCCAGAAACAATCATAAGGATGACCAGAAGAGGGAATTAGCGTACCCGCCTAGATTTGCGGATGGGAAGAGCGCAGCTAGGAGGTGGGAGTATCCGGTTCCGAAAATACCGAGGAGGATCCACATGAAGTAGTAGAGTCCGGCAACAGGGGTTTCGTTTGGATAGCAACGGTCCAGTAGGTGGCTAGGTAAAACAATGTATAGGTGAACAGCTGCCACGGTATTTCAACAACGATTAACGCGGTAAGAAGTGCGCGCCAGTCGTAGATACCGTTCTTGCTCTCGGGCTGTGAAGATGGCCCATTTACGGAACCAGAGGTCCTGGAGATCAGCGCAGGTGGTGGGGATAATCCAGGAGAGGAGGAGCAGGGCGATCATCTGACTTTGTAGACCTTGGAGGGTGTATCCGCGTGGAAGAAACTGAAGGCTATGAACATGGAGACGAAGAAAGACTTGGCTATTTTGCTGAAGTTGTACATCCCGTCCCGCCAGACAGAAATCCAGTGGCGCTTGGTGACTGCGATGGTCTGGGCCCAGAGGGATAGAGCGTATTTATTCTGCGAGGAGGATGCGTAAAGCTGCGAAGAGTTGATCTTTGTCTCCTTGCTGGCGATGCTGGAGTTAAGCTGCGTTATATTTGCTTCCAGGGCTTGGTTTTCAGCGGAGGCATGTCATATAGCCGGCCAGTCCAGCGAGCCTTCGTTCTTGGACGTGACAGGTCGAGAGGATGAATTCAGCGGGGTTAGTGTCGCTTCCAATTATAGCGCCATGACGCCCGAAATAATCGACGACTTCTGAGGATTTTTCACCCGTCTCGCCAAAGTAAACGGTCCGGCCTCCTGGGGCAAGGAGTAGAACTTGGTCGAACATATCGAAAAGAACACCGGACGGCTGGTGAATTGTGCACACGACAGGAATACCTTCAGCTGCGATACGACGCAAGAAGAGCACGAGCTCAAATGAGGCCTGGCTGTCAAGTCCGGAAGTAGGCTCATCGAGGAACAAGAGCGAACTAGGCCGTGCCGCAAGTTCGACTCCGATAGTGACACGCTTTACGCTCTTCGACGCTGAGCTGTCCATCTCCCGGCTGGCCTACCAATGCCTCTGCAATATTCTCGAGGTCAAGAAGATGAATAATATGCTCGACGTAGGCCATCTTATTCTCGTTTGAGATGTGCGCGGGCTGGCGCGAGTGTGCCGAAAATTCCAATGCCTCGCGTACGGTGGCGAACGGTTCATGAATGTCCTGCTGCATTACAAATCCACATGAGCGCTCGAAGGACTCATCCAACAGTTCACTATTAAGTCGAAAAGTTCCTTCAATCTTGCCTGTTCTCTTGCGCTGCGCAAGCGTGTCCAGCAGGGTAGTCTTGCCAGCTCCCGAGGCACCCATTAGGGCTGTCAGCTGCCCGGGGGCGGGCATACCACTCACTTTGTGCAGCAACTGCTTGTCTTCACCATCGTGTGCGACTGTGTAGCTGACATCGGTAAAGGTAAAAGTGCTGTCCG